CCAGTTTTAATACTCATAATATATAAATTATGATAAGAATAATTCAAAGTTCATCAACTCCCTTATAAAATATGTCTTATGTATAATCATGTTATTTATTTATTCAAAGTGATAAATTTTAAATATTTGATTTTCTTGATCTCCAAAAACTCATTGTTTTTAATTTTTGATGTTCACGTGATAAATAATCTAAACTAGTGATATATGTCTGCTTATTTGTTTTCATTTTTCACGTAACCTCGATCAAACTTGGGTTAAAAGATAACCTTTCTTTCCGATATTCGTGGAGAAAATAATCATAAGCTAGTATAGTCTCAACCGACTACTCGTACTTGTTAAAATCACGTCAAGTAATTTATGAGTTGATCAGATCATGAATTAATTAAATTTGATTTAGTCAAAATTTGATAAAAATTAACTTAAAATTTTAATAAGCTGAATCGAGTAAAATTCAACTTAACTCAATAAGTTCACGAACAACTCATTAATTTTTATGATATTTTATTTAATATCCTAAAAAATTATTTCATTAAAAAATTATTCATTACTAACAAATGACTAATATATTAATTTTTAATAAATAATAAAAATACTATAAATAATTATTATTTTACTACACTAAAAAGTTAAATCATAATTATTATTTTAATATATTTGTGAATTCTTATCATGGAATTTAGAGTTTCAATTTGTTTCATATGCTTTTTTAATAATTTTTATTAAATATATCAATTTATGTTTATATTAAGATATATATAGTATTAGTAGATTTTATATATAATTAGAAAGTAAGATAAAAATTTTGTTGAGTTTAACGAGTAATAATGTGAGTAATGAGTTTAACGAGCACGAGTCAAATAATAAATTTTTTTAATGAGTACAATTCTAATAAAATTTTAACGATATTAACAAATAACAAGTGAAATTGAATAATAAATTTTTTAACAAACAAGAGTACTACCACTCGTAATCGACCAGTTGATAAATACACACCACCCTTTTCTATTTTAATCATTTCTTATCGTACTGTTCTGCCTCAAACAATTAGAAGAATCTCTACACGCGCTCCCCTAGCGTGTGGTAGTATTTACTTTTTTTGAGAAGTGAGGTTTACCATTCTTACACGATTCGTTATTTAAGACAATCAACACGTGAGTGACCACATGCTTCGTACTTTCAATGAGGCGGTGATCTAAGTGATGACGTTGAAAGCACATCCGTACCCGTTACCCGGATTCATATCGTATCCTCATTGGGTCCAAGCAAACCCCCTCCAAATAGGTAATATCCCTGGTGGTGCACTTTAGCTGAGCTCCTTGTTTCTTTTGTATTTTTTTTATTAAAAAACAATTTCAGACGTTTTTTTTGGTTAAGTTTTCTTATTTTAAGAAAATGAGCCGTTGACTGAATGAGGTTGACAAATAAGGCTTGTGGTGGGGACTACAGTGACGTAATGATCTGAATCTCTGTCGTCTCTTAATCGTTAGGTTGTTCAATAATGCTGATGATGAAGAGGAGATATGTTATTTTATTAATTTAAATAAGTTATAAGATAATATTTATTTAAAATATTTGTAATTATATACCGATGAATTTAAATTTAGAATTTTTAAGGGATAATAATTATATAAGGGTTAATATATTGGGGGTGGGGCCAATCAAATTATGTTTGGACCTGGTTTGGACCATAGAAAATACAAGACAATATGGTAATGAAGAGGGCATGGGGCCATGGACAATTGATAGGTAATTGCTGCAATAATGCTAATAGACCAAGGCCGAGAGAATTGATATTTTGGGCACCCATTGGTCCAATTGTTATTATTATGGGTAAACTATAAAAATGGTGGCTTTCGTTTGAGTTTTATAAATTATTTCTCACTTATTTAAAAAAATATAAGATTTAGTCATTTTCATTTTGCTTTAATTAAGATGTGACAATTGAAGGTTAACGGCCGTTAAACTTTTAACAGTTTGCTGACTTGGCACGATAAATATATAAAATTAAAATTACATCATTTTTACTTAGATAATATGTGAATTAAGTTTTGGTCACTTTCATTTCATATTTTTACACATTTGCTCACTAATAAAAAAATATAAGTTTTGGTCACTTGCGTTATTGTTTCATTAAGTTTTGGTCACTTACATTATCGTTTTATTAAGTTAAGTCACTTGAACGTTGAATGCCATTAGTCTGAGGACACGACCCATTAGTAAAATTGTTTAATTTTTATTTTAACCACTAAATTCAAATTAGTTTAGAGACATCATTTTAATTTGCCCATTTTTTAATATTTTCTCCCCAGCCCCCAATATTGCTCATCTTCTCCATGCTTCTTCTTCAGACATCTCTATTTCATTGCAATAGCGTTATTGTTTCTAATTATTAATTATAATTATTTGAAGTCAAAATATGTGAGTTCCCAGTTATAAAAAAAAGATATATAAAGAAGTAATGATGATCGTGAAAAATACAGAGAATTTGTCATTAAAACTCTGAAAAGATTCACCACCACCACGAAGACACTGCCTCGAGCCAAGAAAACTAGAACGTCTTCAATGGCGTCATTATTGATGACGTACTACCAGGTTTTCATCTTCGATGAGTTGTTAACGAAATCCGTGTGATGTAAAAGTTCGTCGAGAATGTTTGTCACATCCAGACGTGGTCGACTTCCACGACGTTTACAAAGATCAAACCGACATTCACATAGTATTGGAGATCTACTCCGGTGGTGAGCTGATTGATCCGGTCGTCGCAAAAATGAGGTACTTGGAGGCCTACGCGGTGGTAGTGGTGCGATAGATTGCGCAGACCGCATGGCTTAACGATGATTCATAGGGATCTAGAATAAAAAATTGCTTGTTCTTTAGAAAAAAAATATTCAACGTTAAAGATCATGAATTTTGGATTGAGTTATGTGGATGAATTCACGTATCCAATTATCGGGTTGTTTGGATCCATTGATCATACTTCATTGGAGGTGATTTCTTAAGTGAAAATCACCACGAAGAGTGATATCCGATTATCATGTTATTTGGATCCATTGATCTGTTTTCTTGCTCCTTGTTAGATTTGACATTCCACAATCTCAATATTTGGAAATTGAATTTTAGTTTGCATAACTGAGATTACCTAACTTCATTTTATCTCTAGATACCTACCTTCTCATTTTTCTCTGAACTTGTGGTGTTATTATTTGTTATTGGAAGTTAGAAATCTTTCATTATTCTTGAAACATAGCATGAGTATTTGAAAGAAGGCAAATTGAGAAAAGCAGAGATGTCTGCAGAAGAAAGAGAGAGAATATGAACAATAATGGGTTGGGAAGAAAACATATTAAAAATGAATAAATTGATTTGAATTTACCAAAAAGATCTATAATCAATATTTTGTCTAAAGTGTAGGGGTTAAAATAAATATTAAACCATTTTACTAAATGGCCACGTCATCTAACTGACGACATTCAATGTCCAAGTGACCAAAATCTAATAAAATGATAACGTAAGTGACCAAAATTTATGTTTTTAAAATTTAGTGAGAAAAAGTGTACACATTTGAAAGGAAAGTGACCAAAACTTAATCCCCATATTATCTACGTAGAAATGATATAATTTTAATTTTATATATTTACCGTGTCTCGTCAGCAAACTGTTAAAGGTTTAATAGATATTAACCTTCAGTGACCACATCTTAATTAAAACGAAACGAAAGTGACAAAATCTTATGTTTTCTGAATCAGTGAGAAAAATGTTTATAAAACTCAAACGAAAATGGACATTTCCATAGTTTACCCTATTATTATTTTGAATAAGGAAATCTTATTTTTTAATCACATTATTTATTAACCAACTAACGTGTTCATTAAAATTGAACAGGTCCATGCCGGTAGTACAATATTTTATAAGATTTTATCAAACATATCCGAGTTTTTGAATAAAAATAAATAAATTGATGATGATGATGTTATACATGAGCTAAAGATGTTATCTACAGGGATGTATTCAGTATATATGGGAAGTCGTGTGTCTGAAAATTTAAAATCATTATAATTTTTAATTTATTTTAATTTGTTAAAATATTATAAATTTAATTATGTTCGACTGAAGTTTTATAAATTCAAATTTATTCTTTTAACATGAAATTTTAAGTTTATTCTTGATTACCACGATGGTTGATGAATGCGGAGCCGAGTACTAATGAAATTCAGAACCCCATATCATGTTAAAATTCTTCGATTATAAATGGACAAAAACAGCAGTGGGTGTGAAGAACATAAATTGTAAGTTGGCTGATGCCGGGAATGGATAAAAAGCATCCAGGCCATGGGGATTGATAAGGGATGCATTAAGTCGCTTAATGAATTTTTGGAAAAAATATTAAATTTAACTAACATGTTAGAAAAGGAAAAATATAAAAAAATTATATATCTATTAATTTCTAGAAAAGAATATTAAACTTTTGAACTTCTATTTATAAATTGCTGAGAACATGATCAAATCAAAGATGTTAGTGAAAGGCTTGATCAACAACCACGTCTCTTGTAGGCTACAAGATTTGTTGCAATCTCTGTCGTGGGTAAGAGACAAACACAGCCGACGCTATCTGTAGCAACAAGGACATGTATATTCGCAACCCGAATAAGTTGAAGTCAAGTTGTTTTGCTAAGTAAGAATAAGCATCAGTTTTCAACAAATTATTGTTCAATGATTCATTGTTTAAGAATCCTATTCCCAGTGGATTTTGCTTTTCATGTAATCTGATTAAAGTGGGTTGTTCTGTCGTGAACGGGGGAAAATCAACGACTCATCGGAAGAAAAAAAGCATTAAAGCATTAATTCACTATCCACTTCAACATATAACAAACGGATGTATGCAATGAATCTTGAAAAGGCATTCAAACACAAACTTTTTACGAGTTTTGCATTATATGATAAATAAAGCCCCTGATACACCAATATAAACATTCTAGTATCTATGCGCATGCTTTGAGAAACCCCACTTTCCATTGCCAAATTTGATTAAATCACCTGCACCATCTAAACTAAATTGTGTCAAAGAATAAGGAAATGGCTCTTGTTTATGGAAGTGTTCAAAGTTCAGTTGTTGCAGAAGGGCTCTGCTTCTACCCTGATGCCTCTATGGTGTCTAAAATCTTCACGGTGCTAGCAATGGTTGCAGGGTTAGTGGGGTATTTGTATGGCCCATATTGGAAGGTGAGAAGGGTGCCTGGTCCACCAACTATCCCACTGGTAGGACACCTGCCTATGATGACTAAGTACGGCCCTGGTGTGTTTTCGGTTCTTGCTAAACAATACGGTCCTATTTTCAGGTCAGTTTTTTAGCCTTTTCTGGTAATACTTCGATTTGATGCATCAGTTGTACAAGTCAACCCCCAACAAGCTTCTTTGTTTCTTAGATGACAAAACTTGGGGCTGGTTTTTGGGTGGAGCGCAGGTTTCACATGGGAAGACAACCCCTGATAATTGTAGCAGATGCAGAGCTCTGTAAAGAAGTTGGAATCAAGAAATTCAAGGATATTCCAAACAGAAGCATTCCCACACCTATTGCTGCCTCCCCACTTCATCAAAAGGGTCTTTTTTTCACCCGGTACTCTCATATATTATTACATCAAACTAGTAACCCCCCAAAGAGGGTCTCCTTTTTCATTGGTTTTATTATGCCATTTAAGATTAAGAATCTGATTATACCTCAAATTCCAGGGATTCAAGATGGTCGACTATGAGAAACACTATCTTATCTGTGTACCAACCATCACACTTGGCAAACCTAGTTCCATCCATGCAGAATTGTATTGAATCCGCTACTGAAAATCTCCATTCATCTAAACAAGACGTTGTTTTCTCTAACCTCTCACTCAAACTGGCAACTGATGTAATTGGACAAGCTGCTTTTGGGGTTAACTTTGGCCTCACCACACCACAATCAATCAATCAGAGTGATGAAGTCTCTGATTTCATTGATCAACATATCTATTCCACAACACAACTTAAGATGGACTTGTCAGGTTCTCTGTCTATTATACTAGGTCTACTTGTTCCCATACTGCAGGAGCCTTTCAGGCAGATTTTGAAACGAATACCTGGAACCATGGATTGGAAAATTGAGAGGACTAACAAGAAGCTGAGTGGCAGGCTTGATGAGATTGTATCGAACAGAATGAAAGACGAGAACCGAGGTTCAAAGGACTTCTTGTCTCTAATATTGAGTGCAAGGGAATCACAAAATGTTGCTACCAATGTTTTTACACCGGACTACATAAGTGCAATTACTTATGAGCACCTTCTTGCTGGTTCAGCAACAACATCCTTTACATTATCGTCGATCGTCTATTTAGTTTCCGGACATCCTGAGGTTGAGAAAAAGTTGGTGGAAGAGATTGATGGGTTTGGTCCACATAACCAGGTGCCAACTGCTTATGATCTCCAACATAAATTTCCTTATCTTGATCAGGCAAGTTCCGACGCTTCATTTCCTTGCATTTTCTGCAAGCTTTGACATTGTCACAATACTCAATACTGGATTTATATGTTTCTGTTTGCTGGTTTGACTTCAGGTGATTAAAGAAGCTATGAGGTTCTACGTAGTTTCTCCCTTGGTTGCAAGAGAAACATCAAAAGAAGTGGAGATCGGAGGCTACCTTCTGCCTAAGGTATTACTTATGGGAAACTCAAATGTAATTTCATTTTCTGTTCATGAATTAATGCCCTTGATGTTCAGGGAACTTGGGTGTGGTTAGCAATTGGGGCCTTAGCCAAAGATCCAAAAAATTTCCCAAACCCAGATAAGTTTATACCGGAGCGTTTTGATCCAAATTGTGAAGAAGAAAAAGGAAGGCACCCTTATGCTCTTATACCCTTCGGTATCGGGCCTCGGGCATGTGTTGGCCAGAAGTTTTCCTTGCAGGAAATCAAACTCTCCTTGATTCATCTATATCGGAAATGTACATTTCGACATTCTACCGCCATGGAGAACCCTTTGAAGCTTGAATACGGCCTAGTTCTCAACTTCAAACATGGCGTAAAGCTCACTGTCACGAAAAGAACATGATTATTGTATCTGACTGGGTTATATATTCTCAGTCCTATGAATGCAAAAACCTGTAATTCTATACGCCTAAAAGCCTAAAACAAATCAATTACATTTTTTATTACTACTAATGCACAGTTTATGGATTTTAATACAAAAGAAGATATATTTATAACCTCAAAAGAGTGTTTTGATAGTCGTTTTGCTAAATTCTTTATCATTTGATGCCAAAACAAACGCCCTTGGGCTAGGGAGTCCCATGTAAGCATGCCTGGACGAGTCTCGAATTTTGTGGCTTGGTCGTGGTGAAGGTATCGGACCAGAGTTTGCAAAGGGACCAGGGGTGACCCTTGGAGATAGGTTAACTTGTTCCAGAGCCTGGGATTGCAATTCTTTTGGGTACTCTCGGACACACCCAATTCGAGGACCAATCCCATTTGTCCACTTACAAGACAAACGCTTGGCCATGTGAAATGTCTGTGCCTCCGAATTGGCGGCACTGGTGTCCATGCTGGTTTCTAGACTTTCAGCCCTGTTGCATGCATAATTTCCGGGCTCATCATCAACCTCCACATGCTTTGAATCTGTTGATTTTTCTGTTTCCTCTGGATCTTCGATCACTCCATTCTCAGACTCATCACCAGCAGCTTTATTCGAGGTGTGGTCCACATCTACAGCACATCTCTTCATCAGAAACTTGAATGCAAGATTAATCAAATTCTGGCAGCTTAGTGAAAGTCTAATGACAACTTTAGGTGGTTGTATTACCTTAACATTGGTCAGATCCACCTTGTGTTCTTCAAGGAAAATAATGAATTCTTTGAAACTGTCTTCGGTTGGGAGATAATGACCGCTGTAAGGCCAAATAGCCTGGAGAGAAAGAGAAGGATTTAAGAAACTGGTTTTTATTTGTGTTAGAATTGGAATTATATGTATAATGTACCTCAAGAACTCCATGAGAAGCCACCGATCGTCCAGCAGCTGTTGTAGCCCCTCCCGAAAGGAAACTCGAGTGCTGAATATCCCCTTTCTTCTTTTTCCCAACATACAAGGATCTTGTTGTGCTAAGCACAAAAATCCACTTGGAATCCTCAATGGTGTTAATAAGTGTCCCAGATTGCTTGTAAACAAGCTTTCCACTTTCCACGGTGTCTTCAAATGCTTCCCTTTCTTTATGCAAGCAAGAATTAGACATGGTTAAGAAATGTACAAAACATTTTAGCCATAATTGGTTCATTTCAAGTAAAATACAAGTAACAAAACTCACTGGTCCAAGATATTTGATGCATTGTCCTTGTAGATATGTTCTTCGACACCTGTTGAGATTCAGTTATTTGCCATCTCCAATATCCAACCTTCAATTCCAGATATCAGAACATAAGGGTATAATGGAGCAACCATTATAAGAAAGTTTAATGAAATACAGTACAAGTAGAAGAAAGGTTGAGTGCTCTTGCTTGCTGACCACACGTCGTAATAGAAGTGTAAATTGTGTCCATAACGGTGTCGTGGATCAATCTGCAGAAATATAAAAAGTCTATGACTTATGCATCCAACCAAACCATTGAAGTTTCATATAAAGTCACCACTTTCTCCCTATGTCATAATATGATACATTGCTTCAATCGTACGAATGGAAGCTCCCTTTTCTCATTTAAGAACAGAAACTGAAGCATACCAAAACGAAAATGGTTCATGAACCACGTTCAAATGATACCATATCTTAGCAATCGTTTCCCTATGCTATAACTAGACATGAAAAATAAAGAATTTTTTTATGTTATACTGAATCGCCTGGAGCACAAATAAACAGGGATATTCTAAGTCAACAAGGATTAAATGAGCTTACAGCTTCAAGCCAATGTCGGAGAGCTAGTTTTTGAGCCTTTTCGTCCTTAGACAAACCCTTCCCAAAACCCAAAAGAATGATCTTGTAAGTCCTAAAACAAACTTGGAAACTAGCAACTGGTGAAAGCTTAGTAAAGTACTTTGGCAGCCCTTGTTTTAGTTCGTGCCCATTTTGATACGATAGTTTCATGTTTCTCAATGTCATAGAATGAAACAGAACACCTTCTCAATGCTGCAAAATCTATGGTCTTCCACCAGCAACGTTTGAATTAATATAAGAACCAAACATATTACTCAAAGATAGAAACCGTAAATTCATATTATCTGGAGACAAAGTGCCGAACCAGAGCTCCTTAACCACAACGGCACAATCTGCAAGGTTCCTCCTTGTCCTATGACCTCTGTAGACTTTTTGCAGCTTAGTTGAAGCAGCATCGAGCTCACTTGGAGCCTTGGAGAAAACATTATCTCTGGTTTGGGGAGCATTATGGTGGGTTTTACTGCTATAACGATTCCGTTGGCTTTATCATTTGAGACAACTGAATTTACATTCCCTTGGTCAAGTGCTAAATGTTTGCAGGAATCGGGGGCTTCAAGCTTTGGTTCTTTAATGAACTTCATAGGGAAAGAAGAATTAGAGGGGAAAGAAAAGAAAACAACCACAAAAATGAAATCAACAACCTCACCAACAGGAGAGAAAAACAAGCAGTCCAACAACCACAACTTTTTTTCCTCTAATTTATAATGACCAAAGATAAGTCTATTGACTCCCAAGTCCAACCGCAAAGTCTTCTGCAACTTGTTAAACAAGGCAACTGGGTGACAGTTTGAACAAAAAGAGCTACTGCCGGGGATTGTCTTAGGAAAGACGAGCTAATATACGGCGTTACCGGATACATTAAAAGATATTTAATAAATTTGGTTTAGCGCTACCGGAAATATTGAGTAATAATAATGTATTAGATCTAAATCATGAAGAAATATTATTGAAAAATTTGGCTTTGTGAATTTAAAAGAGAAGCAGTTTTAGAGCCTATAAAGTGTCGATACTTTATAACAATGTATCGATCCACAACGATATAACAGGTAAAAATATGACAAAACCGGAGCGACCAATATATAGAAAGTGTCGATACTTTAATATAAGTATCGACACTTTGTGAATTTAAAAGAGAAGTAATTTTAGCGCTTATAAAGTGTCGATACTTTATAACAATGTATCGATCCACAACGATATAACATTTAAAAATATGATAAAACCGGTCTCTAAAAGACAAAACCGGTATAGAGCGACCAGATATATTGAAAGTATCTATACTTTAATATAAGTATCGACACTTTATGAATTTAAAAGAGAAGCAGTTTTAGCGCCCATAAAGTGTCGATACTTTATAACAATGTATCGATCCAAAATAATATAACAGGTAAAAATATGACAAAATCGGTCTCTAAAGGACAAACCGGTCTCTAAAGGATAAAATCGGTATAGAGCGACCGAATATATTTAAAGTGTCGATACTTTAATATAAGTATCGACACTTTGTGAATTTAAAAGAGAAGCAATTTTAGCGCCTATAAAGTGTCGATACTTTATAACAATGTATCGGTGTACAACGATATAACATGTAAAAATATGACAAACCGTCTCGAAATGACAAAACCGGTAAAGCGCTACCGGATATATTGAAAGTGTCGGTACTTTAATAAGTACGCGTAATAAATTATCGATATTTTCAAAGAAATAGGTAATTATACTATCGAAAGAATCGACACCTGATATAAAAATATCGACACTTTTGTAGTTGTATCGATTAAATATAAATAACATATCCGGTGAAAATATAAAGGGCATAGTTAAATATCCTCTAAAAAATAGATAGAACGAACGAGTTTTTGAAATCGAAGTGTAATTATTGCTACATTTCATAAGGCGTTTCTAAAGCGAAGTTTGTTTGTTTTTTGCTACAGCCGAATCGAAAAGTACGTTGTCGAAACCCTAGTTTTTTATTATTACAGTAATCGGAAATAGGATTTTTATGTGTTGCTTGGGATTTTGGAGTAAAGAAGCATTTGAGACCGATTACAGGTAGAAAGTGATATTCTAGGTAAAATATAAATATCGATACTTTTATTAAATATTATAGGTAGAAAGTGATATTCTAGGTAAAATATAAATATCGATACTTTTATTAAATATTATAGGTAGAAAATGATATTATAGGTTGTATAAATGTGTCGATACTTGGAGTATTGAGTATTCTCATTCTTTTGAAGGAAATATGGATTAGGATTTTTGGGTTTAGTTTGGGGATTTTGAATCAAAGCCAAGAAGGATTTGAGATCGATTATATAATATTATAGGTAGAAAATAAATATGGATACATGTATATAATATTATAGGTAAAATTATATTTTAGGTTGTATAAATGGCCGACACATTTTGTAGTGGCCATTCAAATTCTTTTGAAGAAAACCGTTTTACACAAGAGTAGTTATCTATATTGTATATTGAATAAAATGTATGTAACAAGTATTTGATTTGATTTGCGTAAACTAATATATGAAGGAAAAATAGAGTCAATGGCTGGAAAAATTGTTGGTGGCGCAGATGACTTTGAAATTGAGGCTGAGACTCGAAAGCAACCAAAGGGTAGATATATGTACTTCTAGTAAGTATCAATGTCTTTTTGTTATTATCGTTGAAATGATAATTGGATTAAAGTATTTAAGAACTTTAATTTGATTAAAATTTTAAATGTTGACAGTATGAACGAATGCCAAAGGATGAAGGAAGGTGACGAACACATCGGTTCGGTATATAAATTGAAATTGACATTGAATATTATTTAGCGTTAATGTATTGATTAAGAAACATTTATGCTTAATATTAGGTGAGAAATGATGTGTTGGAGAAATGTAATTCGATGAGTGATGCTGATAAGGAACTTTACATCACACAATCAAAGATGGATAGTGAAGAATACAAAGAATGGAGGAAATCACATGAAAAGAAGGTATTCATTAAACTTGTAAATACGTTGATACAAAATATATAAGAACTATGACATTATATATTGTTAAAAAATGTAGGAAGTGTCGACAAGGTGCATCATTAAAAGGGTGAATTCATTAATTAAACACATTAAGGAGAAGGGTCAGTTGATGTGCTGGGAGAAATGGGGTTTGGATCGTTGGTAGGAGTAAGGGATCAACCTATTCGGAGGGAATTATATCGATCATTGATGGTGCAATTTGATGTCGAACAATGTATTGCTAAATATGGTGATTTTTCATTTCCTCTGGGGATCCCATGTGCTGCAGCCGTCTTGGGGTAGGAAATGAAGGCAAAAGTGTTGTAGACGTCTCTAAGAGTAAGAACTGGAAAACACTTGCCTCAAAATATGGTTTGAAGTAGAAGATGACATATACTGAACTTGAAGAGAAAATTAAAAGTGGATTTTACGGGGGGGATGAGCTGAAGGCCCGAGTTATATTGTACCTTATCGGGATCTTTCTTTGTCCAACGGGTGATACGTCAACGAACAAGGACTATATGAAGCTCATTTGCGATGAAGGCTTGAAGGGTGAATTCAATTGGGCTGAATATGTCCATTCGAGATTGATTGAATCAATAATCACCTTTAAAAAGGGCATCCAGAGATACCTCAAAGGATGCATAGCAATCTTAGAGGTAAATGAGTTGAAGAACGTTTTTGTTTTTTTTATATAAAATGATAGTATAGTTATTATATAAAATTATAAATTTTATTATAAATGCAGGTTGCACTTTTCAATTTTTGGTCAGGCTGTGAGGCAGTGCCGGCTTATGAAAGAACCGGAGTGGCACGCATCTTTGCATGGGGGAAGGAAGAGGTGGTTAGAGTGATGGCGAAGTTGAAGTTGGATAGACCGAGGAAGAAAGAAAGGGTAATAAATGTAATTAAATAATATTAAGAATATAATCAATGTCTTAATATTGTAATTTAATTTTGAAGGTTATTGGCAAGGAGGTAGAGGAGGCAGAGGAGAAGGAAGAAGATATGGTTGTATTGGAAATCCTGACATATCTGTTGTATAATTTTTCATGTGAGGAGTTGGGTTTAGCGTTTAAAATGCTTGTAGTTGTGTGCAAATCCTATTTTCAACAGGTTCTCTTCAGCATGATAGACATAATTACAAAGTTGATTCTAGGTTCGGTCTTCATTCAGAGAAAAAGCTACTGCTCTAGATAAATCTTTAAGTGCCAGATTTCTTATGCTCTGCCTCGAGGATATAGGCTACTGCACGCATCTAACTAATTGGTCTCGAAACGTGAACGTATATCATAACAACTATCCTTATATAAAAAAAAATTAAGAATAATTCTTCAACAACTGAATACAACTATTATATGTAATGTTCAATCGTGCACTCCTTACGTTGGAGGGCTCTAAACCTTAAACCCTCAAAGGAAGCTTGCCTTACCAATTCCTAGTTTACCATTTGGACCCCCATGTTTTATTGGCTATGTAGTCAACATGATTAACCAACATAATCCCAGTTACAGAACTGATTCCGTTCATGATTGCAGGAGACTATAGTCTATAGATTATTTGGCATTTATGTGATGATGCAGATGAAATGTTAAACGATCTCGTAAGCCACAATCAAAATAGACTAATAGAGGAAATTTTGTTAACGTAGGGTTAATTTTGTATAAGATTTATAATTTTACATATGATTTATAATTTTGTATGTGAATGTAATTATGTATGAGATGAGAAAAGTTAGCAATAGGTTTTTGTACATGTTTCTTATACACAATAGGAGTCATGTTGATATTTACGATATATGGAGATCGTTGTCATCACGTGCTGGACTAAATGGCCATTCCATTCTGTCTTCAAAAAAATCAGTTGATGTAGGCTGTGCGCTTGTATTCTAACTGAGCTTGACTTGAGGACATGTTAGTTTTTTATGTCCCTCACTGTTGCAGTACCCACATCGCCTAATTTTCTTCTCGACCTTGTTCTTCGGTACTTCTTTTCGTTTGCGTTATTTTAGTTGAGGGTCGCGAACGTTGTTTACTACACTGCTCTGG